TTGGCTCTTCCTTGGTTCAAATTTAAGGACATAGATTATAAAATAACACTTAAAACATCTTATCTACTTCAACCTGTTGATAGATATATCAAATACTTAGGAAGCTCTTGAATTTAAAATAAGAAATCATAATATTTTAAAATGCTATCCAAATTGATAAGGAACTATTTGATCTCCTTTAAAAAAAGATCTCTATTAACAATTTCTGTCATTCTCTCCCTACTGTATTTTTTCATATTTAGCAAGGTAAATTTTTTGGTCCAGTATTTTGTCTTAGCCAACAAAATGATCAAATGAATTGAATAAATAAGAAATGGACTACAACAAATATAGTGAAACTCAAATAGTCAAACTCCAAAATGATTGTTAAGAATGCCAATCTTTTAAATTTAATTATATTAATAATTTAGATGGATATCACTTTATCTGATTTTCCTATTTTTATTCTCATATCATGTTCATTCTGACTTTGTGCTTGGAATATCAACTTTAGATTTAAATAAGAAACTGCATATGAAAATGCTTTTGCCTAATTCTTGACATAAAATAGGTGCCCACGTGTACAGAATAGGGTAATCAGATGTACATTTGACTTGTGTGTACATCCCAGTTCTTCTCTAGTTGTCCATCTTTAGGCACAACTCTTCTCCCCTTGCACTTCTGTTTCCCCAAATTAAGCATCAATTTTCTTATTTTGAGTACTGTCACTTGTACATCTAAAATCTCCATCTATGTGTCTCCATTACCACTATCAGAGTTTATCCCTATTTAACTATCCTTAGGCTGTTAGACTCCTGACTGATTTTCCTGACTTAGTCTTTCCCCTGTCCTTCCTATTCTGCCTGCAAGATCCAGGTTAATTTTCTTGATTGTTATATCTTTTCTCAAGAATTTTCAACATTATCATACTTAACTAACAAAATAAATCTTAACAGCCTATCCCAGCCTTCAAAACTCTTTGTATATGAACTGTCAATACTACCATTTCTTCCTCTCATTGCATGTTGCTTTTGCTCTACTTGTGGACATTCATATGCATGCCTAATCTCCCTGTAGAGGATGTAAATTGCATGTAAATTAAGACCATATCTTAGTCGTTTTTGTATCCTGCACAGCGCCTTGTACGTTATATGTACTTAGTAAATGAATAGGGGAGTAAAGATAATTTATTCTACTTTCCTCTGATACAAAAAAATAAGATATGTAATTTGACTTCCCTTAGTGATTCAGGCTTGTCATCCTGAGTATCAGTTTCAAAGATTTATTGGGAACCTATTATGGGAAGGCACTCTGCTAGATGTAGGGAGGTAGCTATGGACAATAGATAGCTGTTGAGGTATCCTGCTAAATTTGTTCTATGTGGTATGTAATTGGAAGCCATATAACAAAGGTAGTTTAAAATAAGTATAAATTGGCTAGGAGCCATATTTTCAGAGATAGGTTCTCTAGTAGAAAAGGGACAATGTTGGAATTTTGGTACTATGTGGATCCCATGTTGTGTGTGTGTGTGTGTATCTGTGTGTATCTGTGTGTGGAGGTACATATGAGAGAGAAGGAGTGAGAAAACATACAAAACAAACAAACCAGTTGCTTAAATAACCTCTTTAAAAATTTATACTATTTGGATGATAGGTACACCAAAAGCCCTGACTTCACCATTATATAATTCATCTTTGTATCAAAAAACCATTTGTACCCCCTAAATCTATTGAAATTAAAAAAAAAAAGAAAGAAAGAAAATTTCTTGGCAACGACAACAAATTTTGTTCTAATTTTAAGCAGTGTTCCTAAAAGATGGAGTTTCATGATACTTGAATAATATGTGGTAGCAATTCACAATTATAAAGCTCTTTCACCACCATTACCTTTTACCTAGAGTTTTAACTTGTTGAAATTTCTAGTCTAAAGGAAGTTATCATGTTCCATGGGTAACATAGATACAAGGTTGGGTAATTCCAAAAGTGGACACAGTAGAATTTTTTCTTTAAATTATAGATCTGAAAAACATGCCTAAACTGATGTTTTGAAACTTGCTCTGTAGTTTTTATAAGCTTTCCCTTTATGGCTACAAATTATATATATTAAGTAAATAGATTCTAACCATTTTCGATATGATGATTTCTTTCAATGTCAAAAAGAAATGGACCCTTATATAACAATTACTCTTTCGGTATCCTTTGAGAAAATATATAGGCAAAAACTTGCTATTAAATTTTGTGACTTTTTAAAAGAGTCTACATTTTAATAACCAAAAACATGTACATTCTTTGAAATACAATATCAGGTTGGGCACAATGGCATGCACCTGTAATCCCAACTACTTGGTAGGCTAAGGCAGAAGGATTACACAGCAAAGGAAACAATCAACAAAATGAAAAGACAACCTATGGAAGGGGAGAAAATGTTTGCAAACTATTTATCCAACAGAGGAGTACTATCCAAAATATTCAAGGAACGCAAACATCTCAACAGCAAAAAACAATCTGACTTACAAATGGGCAAATGATCTGAACAGACATTTCTTAAAAGAAGACACAAATGGCCAACAAATACATGAAAAAATACTAAACATCACTAATCATCATGGAAATGCAAATCAAAACCACAATGAGGTATCATCTCACCTCAGTTAGGGTGGCTATTACCAAAGACAAAAAAATAACAAATGCTAACAAGGATGTGGAAAAAAGGGAACTGTTATGCACTGTTTGTGGGAATGTAAACTAGTACAGCCACTATAGAGAACATTATGGAGGTTCCTCAAAAAACTACACATACGACTACCATAATATTCAGCAATCCCACTACTGGGCATTTATCCAAAGGGAAGGAAATCAGTATATCAAAGAGACATCTATACCCCCATGTTTATTACAGCATTATTCACAGTAGCCAAAATATGGAATCAGCCTGGGAGTCTAATAGTAGATGAGTGGATAAAGAAAATGTGATATGTGTACACAATGGAATGCTACTCAGCCATGGCAAGGAATAATATCTTGTCGTTTGTGGCAACATGGACAGAACTAGAGGACATTATATTAAGTGAAATACACCAGGAACGGAAAGTTAAACACTGCATGTTTCTCACTTACATGTGGAAGCTAAAAAAAATAGTTGATCTCATAGAAGTAAAAAATAGAACAGAAGCTGGAAAGGGAAAGGAGGGGTAGAGAGAGATTTTTTAAAGGACATAAAATTGCAGCTAGATAGGAAGAGTAAGTTCTAGTGTTCTGTACCATTGTAATATGACTATAGTTAACAGTATTATATAGTTTCAGATAGCTAGAAGGAAGATATTGAATGTTCCCAACACAAATGATAAATGTTTGGGATGATGGATATGCTAATTGCCCTGATCTGTTCACTATATGTTACATGTATCACAATATCATTATATATCCCTATTGTGTTAATTTAAAAATTTTTTTTAAAAAATACATGTGTATAACATTATTTAGTCTTCAAACAATGCCTAATGCACATATAGATTCCCAGTCCCTTATAATAACATAACTACTCACTCAGAGAGAACCTTATATAATAATAACAATGACTACCAGTCAATGCTTCTTAACCCATAGGTTGGGAACCACTGCTTTCAATGATATGCTTGCCTACTTTAGCCACTACTACCAAAAATCTATGTTGTTAACCAGTAATTTATTAATTGATACTTTAATTCAGTAATTTAAAAAGGCATTCCAAGACATTATTCTCTAAACTATACTGGTTTTGTTTTTGTTTAAGATTTGTCCAAGTGTTTACTGAACTGGAATGAAGAACAAAAGCTAAACGTTTAATAGTTCTTTTCATTCCACAATGTTCATTTATTTGTTATGTCTCCAATTAGTTTTCGTTACCCATGTTTCTCCATTAAATATATTGGTAGGCACAACTCATTGAGTGACTTTAGTATGTGATTGTTCCTAGTAGTCATCATTTGAATCTCAATCTTTCTTTCTCTCTCAACACACTAATATTGTGATTATCAGTTTCAGTTTGAATCAGAGCAGGCTGACCTGGATTGACTAAGATGGAGCCACCATTGTCAACAAAAGTTCCTGTGGCATGTCCATCTGCATCCTTGACCCAGACAAGGGATGAAAATGGTGGATCATTGTTCATTACTCACATGAACTATTAATGTGATAATTTTTGCTGTAATGAAAATATACTAACATTTCTGTAGATTAAAGATTTTTATACTAGGTAAAGGGAAAAAAGGCACTTAAACCTATCTATATCCCTTCTTAGCCTAGAAGAAACTTAAGATTTCTAAATAACAATGTATATTTAATTGCGGATTTTTATATCAAATACCATTTCTAGATATTTTGAGCATAATAATATATTTTTTTATTTATTTTATTGAAAATACAGTAATGCTGACATGCCTAATAACTCACTATGAAAAATCATATGTTCAGTCTGTATCTACAGTTACAACCATCCATTTTTTTTTTTAGTATTTTCAATTCAAGGTTGTTTGAATCCACAGATGTGGAACCCACGGATATGGAAGGCTGACTGTATATGTTTAGTAATATATTCAGAGGACACATGGAGAGAGCATAGATATTAAATATTTGAAAGGTCACTGTGTATTGAACTTATTCTTTATGACTTTTCTCAGTAGAAATAGTCCTAAGGAGTCGAATTTCTATTCAGTATGGAAAAGAATTTCTAACAAGTGAAATGTGTTGCTTTAAGAGAAAAGTAGATTCCCTGTTCATAGATATATGCAGTCCCAGGCTGGATGATCACTTGATGAGGTGTAATAGAGGGATAACAGGAATCTAATAGGTGTGTGGAGTAGATAGCCTATGAAGCCCCTTTCAAATATGAGAATGTCTGAAATATTAGAGAAGAAATGAGTACCTAGCACAAATCCTGATTTAACACTGTTCAGAATGCTCACTTTTAAATTGCTCTCTCAGAAATATTTTACAATGTCTCATTCAACTGCTGAAGTGTTGTGAATTCCTTAAGACCTGTACATTCAAAATTGTGCTGGACTCAGATGCAGCAGAATATGGAGGGCACCAGAGATTGGACCACAACACTGATTTCTTTTCTGAGGCTTTTGAACACAATGGGCGTCCCCATTCTCTTTTGGTAAGTAAGGTCCTTCAGATATTTTTTATTCTATTTCAATTCAATCTTTTATTTTTATAGTGATGTTTTTGTTCAAAGAAACAACTCTTCAAATAAGCATCATGAAAAAAGTGCGGAGAGTGGTAGGGAAAGGGGATTATGCTTTAAATGTAATGTGTGTTGCTAGACTAAATTGTGTTTTGGAAAAACTAATAGTGAAGGATATTTAGGGGACAATTGGAGGAATACGAATATTTCTCAGAAAATGAGAGGAAGGTAGTTTTTTATTTTTCTTCCAATTATGAACATATCTATTCTTTCTGTAATAATTCACTTCCCTTCTGTTCTTACCTTCTCTGTAATATTTTACATTGAGCAGATTTCTACATTATTGACTATCTAATGAAGTTTAATTTAAAACACCTTAATGGAATCAATGAAAAATATATCTTTTTTTCTTTCATGTAGTAAATTGAAGATTGAATTCATTCTAGTTATAAAATTCTCTGGTTTTCTCATATTATTGAGGAAGGCATTATAGTATATAGCTAATTTTTACATTGTGGTGTTGACACAAATGATAGGATGTTGTTTTAAACTACTAGATTTTAATCTTTTTAAAGATGTAGAATTTAGCAACCCTGTAGATTTGGAGGAATTCTTCATTTAACTTATGGCCACACAGCAGGCTCAAAGCCACATCTACACTATATTATCCTTTCTTTTTCCTCTTCCTGACTGATCCCTCTCCCTATTTCTTTGTCTGAAACCTGCATTTTTTTCCACCATGGGAGGCACTGGATTAAAATATGTTTCACATTCCTGACACCAAGAGATATCTAACAAACGTATGGCTTTACCATAGCTGTTAAAGCTATAATTTCAATAAATTGTCTCTCTTTTCAAAAGTGTAGGTATAAGTCAGGTATGAGAATCTGTATGGTACCCCTGGATCCACCATTTTTCTACAATTTTCCCACTTCTTAGAGTAGTGCCAGTACTTGACTTTGTAAGCCGCCATATTATATACAGAACTGATACACCAAAAACCATGGCATTAAATAAATAAATAGAGCAGGGATTACAAAATTTGAGTTGTTGGATTGTAGTCCATAAGGAAAGTGCAATGGCCGTGGGAGACTTAGGTGTTCTAAATGTATGTGAGTGCATATGGGTATGTGTTAATGATGAGATTGATACAGTTCTCTCTCTCTCTCTCTCTCTCTCTCTCTCTCCCTCCCCCTCCCTCTCTCGATACATATTTATTTTTATAAGAGGGATCAAAGGTATTATCAGATTCTTCAAAGAATTATTGCTATAGTCCGTGAGAACATTCAATTTTGACATGTAAAATAAGATTGATAAAAATAGTTTCAGAAGTGGATAAGAAAACTGCATTAAAGTTCTGAAATAACTAAAAGAGTTAGAGACCCCTAAGGGGTTAGGAAAGATGATTCAGCTCACAAAGAGGAATCATGGAAAAGCAGCAACTGATTATAATAAAACTGAACTTTAACCAATTGAACTAGATTTAAAGGGGTTTGAAAAATTTAGACAGCAAAATTCTTATGTAGTCAACTTTCCTAAGTGTTCGTGTATCCCAACAGGGTTCTGTTATGGAGAGATGGCTGTTGATATGAAAAAAATCACAAAATGTCATGGCAGAGGGCCTGAGATCAAGCCCCCAGTTTGCTGTTTCCTAGCAATGAAAACTTGAGCAATTTAACTTCTTTGTACTTCAGTTTCCCTCATCTGTAAAATGAGGACTAATAATAATATCTTCTCTACAGCAACAGATTCTTAGGAAGCATAAATTCATTCATTCATATTGCCAAGCTTTGTGGAAACCACAAAATGCTATTGCACACATATTTTAATGTTATTACTGTCAAGGATAGTCAATAATTATTTAGTATTTTAAACATGCCAAGATGCTAAGTGCTTTGAGAACACACATGAATACCTTCTCCCAACTTTGGGGAAATTATAATCTTAGATGAAAGCTCACAATCTTTGGGATTGGGCAGAAAATATCTTGTCATCCTTTCAATTTTCTAAGAGCAAAGGTATTCTGTCATAATTAGAACAAGTCAACTAACCAGTGGCAGCAGCAGTCAGGAGATTACTTTTCAAGCACTAATTAAATTGATCTTGCAAATACGGAACATGCAATTCTAAATTAGCAGATAGAATGAAGAATATCTCATGAGTCTCAATAATATTAATACATAGAGGAATACAGTACTGCAAGGACATGAGAAATAGAAAAGAGCTTAACCACCGCCTGTAATAGAGTTCCAATCCAACTCGGTCAGTAAGATAAGTATTAGCCCTGTCTTCCCAACAGCAACATCTTGTTTTCAATGACCACAGGTGCTTCAGGAATCTCATTTAAATAAGTCTTTAGGTTCCAGTTGAAATGAACACTGCTTTTAATGTCAGAATAAGGGAGGCCAAACAAACCAGTAGGAAAAAAAAAAAAAAAATTTCCTTTTTGCCAGTTACTCTGCAAAGAGTGAGAGAAAAAGTCACATTAATAAATGTACCTATTATAAGAATGCCTCACTATAATTGTAACTCCTTATTAAACTGATTCTTATGCACTGGGATCCAGTCAGGTTGCTTGAACATGACTGTAAGTGTGGTGGTTCTCACAACACTCCCAAGCGAGATCACTCTTGCCTCCCATACTCCTAGAATATAGGGGGAAGGGAGGACAAGATATAATTTTTCCCTCTTTCATGAAATTTCTGCCCATCATAGCTAGTGCACAGCATTTGCTAAAGCTTAATTTGCAAGCTCAATAATCCAAAGGATCTGCTGAATAAGTGTCAAATCTGTTTTCAAAGATAGTAACAAACAGAGCTCGAAGGAATCTTAAAATAGCCATACATGCTGCATCAGCAGGTACCGCTCTAGCGTTGTCTCTATGTGCTCCGTCAGTTGAAAGTGTGAAGCCAGGGATAACTGCATGTGTACCACTGTTGAAACATATTTGCTAAGGTCAGAGTATCTCATAAATGCCGAAAAGCAATACGGCAGAACTTCTCTGGTCTGCTTTACTGGCGGTTATTGGAAACTCCATTTTAGCATAATCGTTTCTCTGTATTTTGGTTCCTGATATAGGAATTTATATGTTAACTTATGTGTTAATCAGTGCACTGGAGGCAGGGAGCTTCCTCTTCTCTGGTTCATGAATTCAAATTCCATGACATAAATGGGAGAACAGAGATTATTCAGCCTTACACGAGTTAGATTTCCTTATAGTAACTTAAGCTGTCTCAACAATGAAAATGAGAATAAAGCAACTGGTTTAGAATTCTTTACTTTATCAGTTAACCCCCTTATCAATAAAAAGTATATTCATTTACTCCCACTCTAAATTTGGGGGTTCAAATGTAGACTTTTGCTTTAAATACAGGATGTGGCATAGATATATCGTGTTTTATTGTCCCTCAATTGTGAGTATTAAAAATACAACTTAACAGTTAAAAAATATCTTTTGCTCTATTCAAAATTATGAAATATGTTTAGTTTTTTGGACCAGAAAAATCTCAATTCTTAAAGTTTACTTTTTCTAATGTTTCTAAATTAGATAATATACATTCCTATATAGCAATACTTATTAGCATCTCTTTTCTCCTAACCCTAACACAAAATAACAAGAGAATATAATTTATTTTTTCTTAGACAATATTTTATAAACTAAAGCATGTATGTGAAGACTAAAATTATTTTATGTCACTTTTTATTTTTCAAAATAATTTATAAATTTTTTATGAAAAAGTGTGTGTATGTAGACTGTTAAAGAATCTGATGCCTTTTTCATTGTATGATGTCTTCATCCTACCAAGATTATATCTGCATGTGCTATTTCTGAACTTAATAATTTCTAAGAAAATTTTAAAAATTAGCCTTATAAGATTAAACAATTTTTATTTTAAAATTTTCTTTTTTCAAATGTTTGACACCTTATTTTCAAAAATTGTATAATTAATATTTGCAACTCAATTATAATCCTAAAGGAAAACATTTTGTCTGGATGATAGAATAGATCATTGTGTGATCAGTTATTTTTTAGCCATGCTAATGGTTAGTGTAGTAATTACGTCGTTAAAGTAATCAAAATAACTGGGTAGATTAGTATGATTTGACTCTCTTAATAAATGAATTGGATTATACTTTGCTATTCTGATTTCTTCTGAAGAGTTGACAATGAATACAGCTAGAAAAAATGAAACTCATGGCCATGCATTATATTTTCTCACATGTTCTTAATGTGATTTTAGCTATAAAATGTTTAGGGCTTAAAGGCTAATAAATTAGCATGGCAGATAGGTTTACCAGCATGTATATTATCTGTAACATGCATAATAAAGAGTTTCTATATACATGTACTTAAATATAAATTGTTTATATTTAGATATACTTAAATAGTTATATTTAAATCTACATAAATTACATTCATGTTTCTTTTCTCTTGCTGTATGAATCAAAACTATTTTTTGAATTAAAATGATAAAATAAGAATTAAGAGCCGATACTTAGCACTGAATTTTAGGAACCCCAAATTGTTCATATCTGTAATTGTCTCATCATAAGGGTTAGCTCTGATTTATCTTAAGTCCTTGAGTATAGTTGGTAGTCATTTCCTGACTACTAAAAAAATTGATTTACGTACTCATAACCCTAATAAAGAGAAAACTCAAAATTCCATAAATAGCCATAGTTAAGAAAAGTTGCTTGGGGAAATTCTTTCATGTTGCCTATATCGCAAGGTCTCTAAAGCAACATAAACACATTCTGGTAATTAACACTGCATCGAAAAAATATAATTACACAATATTCCTGTTAATGATATTATACAATGATCAACTGAAGGTTTTTGAGCAGATAGTATTAAGAGGTCTCTCTGTGTGACTGGAATTGTCATTATAAAGCTTCTCACATAAAAAGGCCAGGATCATTTAATGAGAGTTCTTAGAGGGTTTTTTAACCATTAAATGCCAAAATAGGAAACTCAATGCATATGTTGCAAACCTTGAACTGCTTATGGCATCGTTTTTATTTAATAGCTCTTAAATTTAGGCTAAATAAAATACCAAAATATCAAAGAGAGTAAGACTGTTTCCAAATTATCAGTATATAGTTATTATTTATATTTCATTAATGAAATACTGATGAGGTTATTAATCAAACAGAGTAGATACCACAAGTACATAGCATCCAAATACTATGCTGACTGGACTTGCCCTGACATATCACTATACCACACACTGAGAGGCCTATCATCATTTGTCCTAGGCCTTACTAATGTGTTTTATTGCAACCTTCTCAGGAGCTTGAACTTATCTGTCTTTTTTTTTTTTTTTTATTTCAGCATATTATGGGGGTACAGATGTTTAGGTTACGTATGTTGCCCTTGCCCCCCCCCAAGTCCGAGTTTCAAATAGGCCCATTCTTCGAGTGGTGCCCATTACACTCTTAGTGTATGCATATACCCGTCCCCTCCCCCTCCGCCCAACATCCAATAGATGTTATTCTTATATGTGCATTTATGTGTTGATCAGTTAATACCAATTTGATGGTGAGTACATGTGGTGCTTGTCTTTCCATTCTTGGGATACCTCACTTAGTAGAATGCATTCCAGCTCTATCCAGGAGTATGCAAGAGGTGCTATATCACCATTGTTTCTTAAAGATGAATAGTACTCCATGGTATACATATACCACATTTTATTAATCCACTCATGTATTGATGGACACTTGGGTTGTTTCCACATCTTTGCAATTGTGAATTGTGCTGCTAGAAACATTCGGGTGCAGGTGTGTTTCTTATACAGTATCATTTACTCTTTTGGGTAGATGCCCAGTAATGGGATTGCTGGATGGAGTAGTACTTCTACTTGTATCTCTTTAAGTTATCTCCATATTGCTTTCCACAGAGGTTGCACTAGTTTGCAGTCCCACCAACAGTGCATAAATGTTCCTATCTCTCCACATCCACGCCAACATTTATTGTTTTGGGACTTTTTGATAAAGGCCAGTCTCACTGGAGATAAGTGGTATCTCATTGTGGTTTTAATTTGCATTTGCCTGATGATTAGAGATGTTGAGCATTTTTTCATATGTTTTTTGGCCAATATTCTATCTTCTTTTGAAAAGTTTCTCTTCATGTCCTTTGCCCACTTTTTGATAGGGTCGTTTAATTTTTTCTTGTTGATTTTCCCGAGTTCTAAGTAGATTCTGGTTATCAGCCCTTTATCGGATTTGTAGCATGCAAAAATTTTCTCCCATTCTGTAGGTTGTCTGTTTGCTCTTGTGACAGTGTCTCTGGCTGTGCAGAAACTTTTTAATTTGATCAGGTCCCATTTATTTATTTTGGTTGTTGCTGTGATTGCGTTTGGGGTCTTCTTCATTATCTGTCTTTTTTACCTGCATTATAGGATGATGTTGTATCAGAGAAATATATTCAATGTTTAGGGAACTGAAATTCTTTTACCTAGTGAGAAATTTGGATGAGTCTTTAGTTTAGACTGCTCATGGCTGATATTACCTACTGTCCCACTGATTAGTCAGATCCAGTTACTGTGATACCCAAAACTATACACATAAATTAGACCCCTTAATAAGTACATGGGAAACTCCTTTGGAAGGGGAGGTCACTGTCTTGATTCATGCCTATTTTGATAAGACTTGGGGAGAGAACCAGTTGAATCCCCTTGTTGGTTTCTTTCATTTCTCCTCTTTTGCTTTGGTCTATATTCCTTTTGTCTGTAGCTTCATTATAAAAACTCACTATCCTTTGGACTGGATCCTTGATAATAGTCCCACGTTATCATGAATACCTCCAGCTTCCTTTTGTGGAACCATCTCGTAACATTTTACCTATCACAGTCAAAGAGAAAACATTGCATAGAAGGGATTGCATTAAATTCTGATGTGGTTTAAAAATTATAAGACTTTAAATACACGGTGTAAATTATAGGAAAACAGATTTTGGTGTTGAAATACATGATTTCCACATATAATGACTGCAAGAATGTAAAATTTATCTTTTTGGAAATACTGGATTGCAAATCAAACCATGAGACATTATGCTACGTAGTGACTGTTAGTGTTTGTGAAATTTTTCTCAGATGATTATCATTTCCTAAATCACTATTACTTTTAACTGAAGATTAGAAAAACTGTTCTCTACCCATTACATTCAGAATATAAATTTCTTTAAATGTCACTATTTTAAAACTGCAAACTTTAATCTTTGATGTTCAAAACTAACCAACTGTATTGGTGTGTCTGATTTTTTTTTAAGAGTAGTAAGAGTTCTTTATTGCAGAAACCTTAAGGGAAAACATCATGTTCATTTGCAGAGCTGAGATGCATTGGACATACAATGAAAATCAGCTATTCTATTTTTTTATTTTCATTTTTTTTCCTAAAGCTATGTTTGCTTTGTATCTTTAATTCTGCTTCTAAACTAAAGCCTTTTTTTCCTAAACTAAAGCCTTTTTTTTTCTTTTTTTAACCATCAGGCAAGCTTTCACTTAAAGATAAAGTGATTGAAAATAGTAAAATATTAGCAAAGTAAGAAATGAAGAGAGATTGTCACTATGATGACAAAAACCTATAATATTCTTTTTACTGTTTGCTTTGTTAATAGTTAAATGTGTTGTGTATGAAATAACACATAAATAAGCACCAAGCTATTCAAATTCCTTCTCAATTTTATAAAAATTTTCAGATGTAATTATATTAGAAGAGAATGTCTTGTTAAATATGCACATGTTGATCCACTATTATTCCTTTGTCCATTGTTTATTCTTTTATTCAGTCATCATTGATACCTGCTTTTTCTAATGGCACCTACAAAAAGTTAGAAATAAAGAGACATATGACATATGCCCTCATAAATCTCATAATCTAGTGGGGAGGATAGACAGTAAACTTGGAAAAAAATCACAAATTGTGTTAAGTGTTCAGAAAGAAACAAAAAGGCTGCTATGACTGATAATAAAATGGACAACCTATATCTAGCATTGGCAGGGAAAGCCCCTCTATAAAGGTAGGTTTTTTCAAGATCCGAGAGGTAAGGAACAGCAAGGCAAAGAGTGTTCAGAGGAGAAGCCATATCTTAAGCAAAGATCCAGAAGAAGGGAAGAATTTGACATGTTCAAGGAACTGCAAGACTCCCATGGCTGGATTCTAGTGGGCGGAGGTGCAGGTGATGGAGCTGAGCAGAGATGGCCGATGTAGGCAAGGGGGAGCCGAGTTGGGCCTGGCAGGGCATGGAAAGAATGTATATTCTATTTCAAGTGCAATGGCAAGCTTTTTCATTGGTTTAAGTTGGGGAAGGACCTAAAATACACTTAGCACTCCTTATATTACATTTCAGTTTTTGTTCTTAAATGAAAAGAAGAAAAAAAAGAATTATAAATAAAAGTATCTTGAGACAAAGCAATGCTGTGTATATTGCCTACTTCATCTAAGTAGAGTAACATTGTGAACCCAAGAGCAGCCTTCCTTCACCACCTGATAGTGCCTAATGTCCGAGGAACTTGGGTTTTGTAAATAGTATGGAGCCCTCTGGTGGTGATTGCTTTACAATAGTCTTATGTTGCTGCCAGAACTCTGGGAACTGTGGAATTGAGCCTCCTCAGAGCCCATAGAATTGTAAAGATACCTGTAACTTTAGGCAAATGTGAGACTGCACCATGCCTATGTCCCTTAGACATAATGACAGCACGTTTGCTATTTTTTTAAATTGCACTGACATAATTGTGTTGACTTAGGTGTACATTCCAAGCCGAGTGGCCCTCATCCTTCAGAATGTGGATCTGCCGAACTGAAGAGACCTGATTTCAGCTCCACTGGATGCAGATGTGTGTTTTGTTTTCTGGTTCTCATTGTCACGCAGCTTATAATGTGTAAGCTTTTCAAAATGCAGTTGTCTAGCCAAAACGTCAGATGTCTGAAATTCAGTATTGGTATGTGTAAATATGTCAAACTTTAAGAAGTAGATGGAGGGGTATGTTTAAAATTTTAGAAATCCTAGACCATCTTAGCTGGTAGGATTCTCAAATAAAGTGTTATATATAGGGTCTTAAAAACATTTTACTTTCCTGGACAATTATTTCATTCTTTTAAGTTCAAATTTGAATCACTTGTCATGTACGATTATTTCTGTTGAATGTATATGGTATTTTTTTTAAGATGGATCTTCGGTGGCCTTGTTTGTTCTAATATCTCTTGGTCTAAATGGTGAAGAACCAAGATTGTTTCTTTTTTTTTCAAATTTTGTTTAAAAATACTGTAATAAAAATGTACTAATAATATAAAATTAAGAATTATATCAAAAGTAATATAAAAGCCGTTGCCTATGAACTTATCTGTGCCTCATTTTGCATAAATTTTATCTTGTGATTTCTTGTTCACTTCATATTTTGGTAGATGCCCAGATCTCAGTCTTTCTGAAGGCCTAAAATGGTAATTGTAGCATTTCAGAAAATGTCTTTCATTTCAATCAATAAAAAAAAAATTGCAAAATTGTCTTTGCTAATGTTTATTTGCTGTACTATTATAGAGATTGATTTGGAATGAATGTTAGAATGCCTTGTCTTAACTCTGATATGTTCCCCACATATATTCACATGTGCATGATGGACTGGGAGGCATGGAGATTAATAATTTTTTCTTTCTTTAGGTACCATTTATAACTTGAAATTATATTAACCAATTCGGATATATCTGAGCTAGACTTCAGCTGTAAACCTGAGCGCTTTTAAAAGCTGAATTAACTATCTCAACTCAGTGGGATACTCCTTTGTGAAATTACCCCTCACTTAATTAAATAGTAGGCCAGAGGTCTAAGATCATTGATATGTAAGTCACTCATAACTGAGAAATTATGATGCACTTAAGGGACATAAGATACCTGTCACTTTATTTAAAGATCTAATTTTTTCCTTTACATTAATACTGACTGCTTGATTTTGGGTTTGAGCCTGATTATTCATGATTAATTAAGAGTACTTGGAAGTTTTCGTTAAAAATTCAGTCATGGAATAGATAAGCAACAGAGACTTACTTTCATAGCTAAAACTATACTGTATATTAACCATCATCCTTAAATTTTTTTGAGTAAAGCCTTTGAATATGTAGGTCTGAAATATGTTATTTACTTTAACTTCTAAGTAGTAGAATAGTAGTTTGATTTCCTGAAAGAATCAGCAATAGCAGCTGACGATGATACATGCTGGGAAACATTACCGAAAGCCGTCTGCGATGGTTTCCCATTACACAGACGTTATTAATATCGTAGCACTGCCATGATCTGTACCTGTTATTGATGACAGCATGACATGCAATCATGATGTTTCATGTTCTAGTTTATAATTCCTTAATTTTGTAACTTTTATAAAATTACAAGAAATTACTTAGTACCTAGAACCTATTTACTTTGCATTTTGACCTCTATGGCAAAGTTAAAAAGACCAGAGTAATTATATGCTATATTTTGATTATATTGATTGACTTTGCTAATATGTTCTTTAGATTTTAAGTCTAAAGTTAAAATTTAGCAGTGTAATGTAAGTTGAATGCCCTTGTCCAGTCCCCACTTCTCCTTCCTAGATGAGCAATAAATGCATGTTGCTAGGTAGGAATTATAAAAATACATGCAAACAAATAAAATATTAATAGTGCAAAACAGAATGTAGGGTTTATTTGTTTATTTATTTTTTGTCTATAACAGCATAGACAGCCTTTAAAGAACATTCTAACATTGTAGCATATTTCACTATAGGAATTTTCATTTTCGTATCAGTAACATTCTCATTGTTATGTCATTTTGTAGGAAGTTTTTTTTTTTTTTGGTGGTGAGGGGGACAGAGTCTCACTCTGTTGCCTGGGCTAGAGTGCCGTGGCATCAACCTAGCTCACAGCCACCTCAGACTCCTGGGCTCAAGCGATCTCCTGCCTCAGCCTCCTGAGTAGCTGGGACTATAGGCACATGCCACCGCACCGGCTAATTTCTTCTATTTTTAGGGAGACAGGGTCTCACTCTTGTTCAGGCTGTTCTTGAACTCTTGACCTCAAGCAATCCTCCTGCCTTGGCCTCCCGTGTGCTAGGATTACAGGCGTGAGCCACTGCGCCCAGCCTGGCTAAACACTTTCAACAAACAACAGAGAGGTGCAAAATTTTACTCTTTGTGCCTTATGTTTTTTCTCTGATATGTTTATTGCCTACATAGAAATGAGACTAACCAGTCTTTTTGGACTTTTCAAAATAAATACTTTTGCTGTTTTAATTTTTATGTTCTGGAAAACACGGATGACTACAGATTTCTTTGTAGCATTTTCTAATATTAACAAGTGAATGCTAGTTATAGCTCTATTATCCAAAATAAGATTTATTTCTAATGCTAGTGATGGTTAATGTTTTAGTTTAATATTAGCCTACTCAGATCAAATACCATAGTTTATAATAGCCAAAAATCAAATTGTAAACATTTTTTCCTAGAATGTCTCCCACTTTATACCACTTGAACCTGAGGGTCTAGTCTTCTCATATTTTCTTTCCCATAAATTTGATGTCTCTCACTTTGCCTTGTTCTTAGCTGATGTATTCACCTCTAACATAAAATGAAGGACTTAGCTACCATGTTCCTCAAGCTCAAAAAGTAACCAATGACAATAAATTGACTCTTCTCATGACAACAATAAAAGAACGCAAGTATTTTTTTCTCTGTCTCAAGCACTCCCCTTAGCAGTATCATTCAACATTTGTCACCCATCAGAGTTACAGCCATTGCTATGTAGGATCATACAGGAAACCTCTGAATAAGAAGCCTATTCTTCAAATAATACAGAAGAAAGTGCAGACAGATCTGGAGGGAAGTGATGAAGGGTAATGTGTTTCCCTCTCCTGTTTGGCTTTTAGCTTCAGGGCAAATATTTTTTATGGTCTTTGATCTTCCAGCCATTGAATCTGGTGGTGAAAGCAACCTTAAATAGCTTCTCTGTTGCTCTTCCTGTTTAGAATGAGCTAGAGCAGACATACCTGGTAGAAACCAACACAGTGAAGCAGCTTTCTGGCTGACTTCGTGCTTCTCAGACTATTTCTTTTTGCCATATTGAGCTGTGCCTTGAACTTGGGGTCTTTAGAGCAGTGGGTTTCATTTGTCTGTTCCTTATAAGGGGACGAGCACAGAGATATGAACTTTGCTAGGAAGAATATTCTGATGAAAGCACATAGTACAGCAATATCATGTTCTTTGTGCAGTAGAGTTCATTTATCATTCACAATGTGTTAGAATAGAAACGTAGATAAATTTTCTCACTAAAGCTAGCCTTCGGGGGAAAAAAATCAAATGAACTCCCTACTAATTTTTCTGGTCTATTATCTTATTAATGGTGATTTGTAGAGAATTGCAGAGAAACATTCATACTTTAGGGCAGAATTTCTTAATTGGTAGTGTGAGGAATTATGATACAGTAGCTATAAGTGTTTTTGTCTCTATAATTTAAAATGTTACATCTGGATTTTAACTCTTGGCAAAAACCGCAGAGAAAGCAATGTTTATGTACATGAAAAAACGTATTTGGTCCTAGATAGGCTAAAGGGCGTGCCATTCAGAAGTTTACTTGTGACTCGCAATTTTTCTTGTCATTTCTGCTGGACCAGAGAAAGTTGTTTGGCCCTCATATATGCTGTGTAGACTGTTTTACCCAGAAGCCTGCACTGTATTTTGAAAGAATAGTATGATATTGTGGTCGGAAGACCTGGGTTCAAGTTTCAGCTCTTTGTTCCCAGTGCTTCATTATAGAAAGCACTTGGTGACCGTTAGTTCTTATCCAGGGTTACAAGACAATTAAAGCGAAAGGGGAGGGGGGAGTATTGTTACTGCTTTAATAAATGCTATTGTGTGATTCATAGCTACGTGGATGGTGAGTCAGTGAATGGAGATGGAGACATCCTCTAAGTTTGTTGTCAGGAACACATTGTTACCACCACCTGCCTGTCAGGGCTTCTGTATTAAGTTATCTGCACTTTTAGGCAGGAAAATGTGGGCTCCTTTACAGAGAAGGGGTTTACTTTTCCACAACCACCGCAGATGGTGCAACACACCAGTCCTCCACTGCTGCTTTTATTATGTTTGCTTAAGTTAGCTTTTTCTCTGAGTGCACGAGGATGTCTCAGTGAATTCCTTTCCCTTGCAGTCAGTGGACTGACCGTTTAGAGTTTCAGCTACTCACAGACGCCCTTCACTGAGGCACAGCGACCAGATGTTGAGAGTCTCTATTCTTTCCCGCTTCCCCTTCTGCTCACAGCCTGAGACAGACTACTGGCAAAAGGAATAAATGACAGAGGAAACGTAAGCATTGCGAGAGAACTCAGACACAGTTTGGGTCATCATTTTTTGGATTAAAAATCTGTAATCAGAAACATTTATTTTCATTAAATAAATGCACAATTAGATATTAATTTCTTGAAGATGGGGGATAAATATCAAAAATTGTTCTGGTATTTGCAATAATGCAATGCAAAGCAGAAAACCAACAAAAAAGCTATCACATCAAATTACTTGCCACACAAGTATATAAATTAAATGAGGTGAGTGTTCAAATTGTGCATACTTGTTTAAGGCGATACAGGAAATGGAAATCTGTAAATGTGTGAATAAACTTATCCAAAAGATATGAATTTGTGAATACACACGAACATAACATATATATTAATAATTCGTAAGTCAACTGAAAACACAAAGTTCACTGATTCCGGTATGTGCCTTGGGCTAATAAATCACTTGATCTCTGTGTGGGATACTCATACTCAATTTTAGGTATTTTTGTTGTTGTTGTTGCATTACACACATCAAATCCAAACAAGTGATTTCATTTGGATTTAAAGAAGTTTCCAGATCTGTGTAACGAAATACACTGTGTATGTCTCAAATCCTTTAGAGAGTTTCTCACCTCAAACTATTTAGCTGTGAGTCTTATTTTTGCTCTGGAAAGAAAGGAGAAGGAAATGAAATAACTTTATTACTTCTTTATTTATGTCCACTAGGGATTCTTCCTAACTGAGTTTGTAGTGTCACTTTCCATTCACTCCAGCAACATAAATGATGAAAACCACTGCATGTAATTTCATTACACTAATGCCCCTAACCACATTGTTGATTATTGATTAAACCTGATCATGTGATATAAAGCCCCACCACTACCACATACACTCACAGTCACTCTCTAAGCCCTTTTTTCTTCCTTCTTATAATAAGTGAGGACTCATTGGGACTTTCTGTATAGAAAAAGCTGTAGAATACCTAATTCTTTACTGAACAGATTTTTTTTTTAAGACATACTGTATTAGCTACCACATCTTGAGTGTTTTCTTGTTACTATGCCCTATGCTGAGCACTTTATATACATTTTCAGTCTTAAACTCTGAAAAAAGGATTATGGTTAACCCTCTTTGAGTCTAGGCTGTGCTCATCCTAATTCAGCTATCTTTTGTGCCGTTTACACAATGGATCATCGGAGAT